ACACAAACCCACACATACATACAGACATAGTAAAACCCTCGCGAGAGTAGTCAGGGAAGCTTTCTAGGACCTTAAAACGTCGAGATCTGATGAAAACTCGATTTTTGCAAAACGGGGTGAAAACAATAACTTCCCGATTTTTGAAAATCTTCGATTTTCTTAGCGGGAAGTTAAAAATCTTAGCACATTACCAGTTCATGTTATAATAAGAATGAGTTGTTTTTACATATAAGGTACCCGCGGGTAATAAGGCCTGTCGGATAGTAAGGCCTAAGTGATAGAAATGCTATTTAAAATAACTGCTTGCGCTAAAGGCTTCTCTAGTACTTAGAAGCGTCTAGCATAGAAATGTCGCTACAAGTTTATAGAGTCCCGATACAACGTTCCCTGTCTTTTATATTTCATTATCCGTCATATCCTAAAGTAGCGCGGAAAAATTCCTAAGAAACGGTTTGAGTAAATGGTAAACATTTTTTATAATTTTATATTTAATAATTTAAAATCATTGTTCTAATTTTTATCAACATCTTAAGAAGTATTGTTGCTAAATTTAAATGATGATTGATCTATAACATTAATTTTATTGATTTTAGTATTACTATTTCCAGTATGTTTAATCCGCAGGCCTTATTACCCTACCGTAGTAAAATAAGGCCTATTCGCAAGGTTTTTGAAAAAATTCAATTTTGTGTTTGTTTATGGTAAAAATTACCATTACTTCATTATATTTTGTAGCTAATGTATTAATATAAAAATTAACGTTACATTTCAATAATTAAATGCAATATTTTCGATTTTTTTCAAAATTTCCCTTAGTTAGGCCTTATTACCCGCCGGTACCTTAATTGAGTATCTCTCAGCACAGTAACCATTCCTATTTTGCACACTATATTGAAAACACGAGTGATTCTCATGTTCACAATCGCTGTTAGCTTGTAGGATAATACAGATTCCTGTGAGCAGAAGAACTCTTACAATATAATATAAGTATAAGTGCCGTGCAACGATACGAATGAGTCACCTGACAAACGTTCCTCATTCTCATCCAGCACAGTAACCATTCCTGTGCTAAATGAGAACTGTTGCTATAGATCACATTTTAATAATATAAATATATAAATAAGATTATTAGAACAATATTTTAAGCGTACTTTTAACTTTTGATAAAGAAGTATTTTTAGCTTTGTTTATTAGTTTAAATATTTATTTTTAACTTTCCGCTAAAAAAATTGAAGATTTTTGAAAAATCGGAAAGTTATTGTTTTCACCCCGTTTTGCAAAAATCGAGGTTTCAATCCCGAGTCAAAAAACAAATTCTAGTTTTAACCTCAAAAGCCTCAAATCCTTTGATGTTTTATTTGCCGCACAGAAAGTAACTCTACTTTAACACTCAAAATCCTCATTGAAAATTTTGAGGTCTTAATGTGAACCACCCGTTGATTTAGAGTCTTCACTACAACCTCAAAAGTCTCATTCAGTGAAAAGTTGTATTTTGGACTTAGAAAATTTTTGCTTCATCAAAAAAATTTAAGTTACATTTACAAATTAACATATAACATGAGAAATATGTCACAACTTTATGTAAAAATAGTTATTAAAAAATCAAAAAGAATTTTCTAAAAGATCAGTGATAATTTTTTTATCTGACAGTATAATTGTTGTAGCATTTGTTCGCATATTATGTCTGTTAGGTACAAATTAATGTGACGAAACACGGAATCTTGATTTTTAGGCGAGAATTAAAGAACACCTACGCTCACGTTTAAGGAATGCAATTGTAACTAAGTCATTACCAATAAACTAACAGATAATAAATAATATCAATAAAAATCTAAATACATATTTGTTATTTTATTACGTAACGAATAATCAATTCTCAGTGACCAATGGACAAAATAATCCTTCAAGTTCGAAAAATTGAATTAGGTTCATTAACGTGCTGATACAACCGTAGATACTCAATAATTAAATAATTTTTTGAAGCAACTTACATAGTACATCAGGTAATTTAATTAATTTTTTTAAATGCTGTAAAACATTTGAAACGTTTGTTGAAACCAAATCCATGTAATGATTCATCAATGCAAATGCTTATTCAGATTTAAAATTTTTCAATCTGCTTTTTTTTCTCAATCACAATTAAGTTTTAAATAATTAGCGTTAATTTAAAAATTTTATGATTCAGTCCCGTGAAAAAATATTCTGATCAGACCTGATATGGCCTGATATGGACCGTCCATATCAGGCCTGATATGGAAATTGGCCATATCAGACTTGATATGGCCTGATCAGGGCTGATATGGCCATATTAAGATGTAGACAATCCAGAAAGAGAAATAAAATTTATCATTTCTGATTTTATTTTGTTTTTTAAAAAATA